TGCTTTCAGAACTGAGCCTGTGAATGCTTCTGGCAGTGTTTCCTTTCACATAGCACCAGGTCAGGACTGCTCCAGCATTTTGTGGTAGACAAGGGTGACTCCAGCCATCAAGGGTGCCCCCAATGTAACCATGTGGAGGATGCTCCAGCAGACTGAGATCCAGATTGTTATCTGGCCATGAGCTGAGCCATACACAGTCACTTCTTGTCTGTGAGCAGAGGACTTTGCTCTCTGTTCCATTAAGTTACCAAGAGTGATCATTGCTGAATTGCTTTGTCAAATAACCCAGAGGTTTGCCTTTTTCTCTTTTCTTTGCCAAGTTCAGAAGTTGCACCAAGCCCCAAGCCATGCTGTGTGTCCCTTGGTGCTGTGTCTGTTACTGGCAGGGCCTGGGGCTTGGGTCCAGAAGGTCTGCTTTGTTTGTTCCCCTGGGTCTGGAGGAATACAGATTTTATTTATGTTTTATTTTATTCTTTTTTATTTTTTCATTTAAAAGCTATGCAGCAGTTTATCAGTTGAAGCAGAAGACAATCCTTTGCAGCAATATTACTCATGTACACATGCTGATCAGCTGAAGTGTTAAAGCTCCAGGTGAGTGCTCCAGCCTTTAATCAATGGCCAGTCATTGATTTAGCACATCCACAAGCTTCAGGTGGGCATGAAGCAGTTCCTCCATTGCATCCAGTTTTTAGGGCACCTTTAGACACTAGAGGTACTTTTCAATGTATAATTTATTAGGTGAATGGCCTGTTAATAGCCTGTGCTAAAGAGGATGTGAAAGCAGCTGAGCAATACTGCCCTTTCTAGGTGTTACAGGTGGTGGGTACTATTAACCAGAACTGGAAAACACAGAACCTGTGACCTTTTATAAGTACTGAGTTACTGCTGTCAATGCAAAGCTGTTTGGGTGTTTAATAGTTGTTTATGATGACATTCATACACAGATGAGTGAGGAGTTCCCTGAGGCAATGTGTGTGCAGCTGTTGAGCCAGAGCTGAAGCAGCCTCTGGTGAAGGTGAATGCAGAGAGGCTTTTGTGGCAAGAGCAGAAACAGCATCCCTGATGCTGGGGATCCCATGGAGAGCTGCAATCCCTGATCCCATGGAGGAGCTCAGCAGATGATGGGGGTTTGCCCAAGGACTAAAAGAGGAGCTGGGGATGGGTGGGGGGTATTAGGAAACCGCAGATGTCAAAGGGATGAAGCAAAGCTTTAAACGGGAAGGAATCAGACTTGAGAGGGATGGCCAGATGGACATCCAGCTAAGGCCCTGAAGTGGAATTCTGTAAGGCAAACATCAGTGACAAGCAGCTGGGTAGCAGGAACAGCCAGCAGGCAGGCTTGTTTCATTTCTTTGCCATCTATGAAACATCCCTTTAGGGTGTGCACGATGGCCAGAGGATGTGGTAGCTTTAGCTGTAGATCTTTAGTCTCCACTGTTGTGAGTTCTGTGCTTAGGTCTGTGCTCCGGTGCACTGCAGGATTTTTAGGGTAAGTCATTTTTCCACCAGTTGCTAAGATTTCAAGGCAGCTGGATGGGGTGGTGAATATACTGGTGGTGGCTACCAGAAATAGTTAAGAAGAAAAAGGGTGGGAAAAATTAATGTAATAGGAAACAGAAGTACAGACTCGTGATTGTGCTTATTTTGTTACTGTGGTAGAGCAAAGCATGGACATTTGATGATTTTTAAAAATTTATTTAAAGAAAAATTGTGGCAAATGTTACCAAAATAATTTATGTTTCTGGAAGCTTTACAAGTCAGGCAGCCTGTGCCTAGATACAATGTTAATAATGGCTTAGCGGTTTTTTTATTAGAATTTATGTACATTAAACAATTGGAGTGCTTTGAAGAACAGCATTTAAAAGGTTAAAGTAATGAACATGGAATATGTTCTAAGGTTATCTTTGAGAGGGACCCTTTGCATCCTTAAATGCCTGCCTGAGGTGGCCTCTGCTTTAAGACTTTAAAGCTTAAAGAAATCCTATATCCAGCAGAAATTCTTCCCTGTTGCAGTGGTGAGGCCTTAGCACGGGTTGCCCAGAGAAGCTGTGGCTGTCCCACCCATGGAATTGTCCAAGGCCAGGCAGGGTGGGGTTTGGAACAACCTGGGACAGTGGAAAGTGTCCCTGCAGGGGATGGGATGGGATCAGCTTTGAGGTCCCTTCCAACCCCAACCATTCTGTGATTCTGTGATTGTGCATATTGAAAAAGGAGGCTGTGGCCTTATGTGCTCAGGTACAAATCCCCCACCTGTTCTTCTGAACATACCTCTTTGCTCATTTATTCTTTCCTTTGTGCTTTCACAAGGAGCCCTTGTGCCCTCAAAAGCTCAGTAGGAGTTCATGGTTAGTTTACAGAATTAACAGGGATGGAAACCTGAGCAGCTGGACGCATCCCTGCTTGCTGGAATGGTTCTGGATGTGACTTAGGGGGTTTTGTTCCTAAATAGAAGAAGAGTTTTATTCCAGTACCACACTCAAGTGTAGCAGATGGGGCAGTGTCCTCATAAAGTAAATACATGAATAACCTGCAGGCTTTAGGGACGGGGCCCTTCCGAGAGTTCTTGCATGTTTCATATAAAAACCAGTCATGCATAGGGCCCTTTTGATGCATTTGAACTGCAGAGGATGCTTGTCATTGAATATCACATCAGAAGGGAATGCAGGAGAACCGCTGGTTTGGGGGTCAGGACGGGATCTGCACACTGGTAATGCTCCTACTCTGACAGAAGCTCCACAGCCAGTACAAGGTTTAAGGGGATTGCTCCATCAGGCCCCCGCAGAAAAGCTTTAAACAATGGTTAACGCAGGAAGGATGTCACAGGTAACAGAGCATGTTCGTGCCAAGGCACAGTGCAGAGTCAGCACTGGCTCCAGCCAGCACCACGTATTTTACCAGTTTTCAGTATATGTTTTTAAAAGTATCCCGCCTGTGGGGCCGGCAGTGCCGCGCCCGCAGGGCCGTGCCCGTGGGGCCGCGCCTGTGGGGCCGCGCCTGTGGGGCCGCGCCTGTGGGGCAGGCACAGCTCATACCGCGCTGCCTGCTCCTCGACAGCCATTCCCATCCTGCTGGTCTGAATGCCGCTTTCCCTCTCGGTCTCTCTATCTCCCTGCTCTCCTTTTCCATTTTCCTTTCTCCTTCTCTGTCTTTTCTAGCCCTCTTTAGTAGGTCAGCTTCTTCTTTTGTTCTTGGTTTTGGTTACCAAGGAACACTTCTCATATGTAAGGTTGTCTCAGTTCACTTAATTTCGTTCTAGACCATCCATTTTTAAAAGAACTGCGACAGGGTTCTTTACCCACAGCTGATATTTAGCTATTTGTCTTTCACAAGTACAAAAAATACTGAAATGGTAGAAAAGTAACTAAAGCTCTACAGCAAAGCCTGGGCATGAGCAATGCTAAATATCACTGGCTTCTGCCACTCATATGTGTCCTGTTTAGGAGACAGTTCCAGAGGTATTTGGTGCTGTGGCATGTCCCCAGCCCTGGCCTTTGCTTGATGTGCTCATGATGGGTTTGTGAATATGTAGTAAGGTAGCAGGCATGCTGCCTTTCTGAGGGCTTGGCTAAATCCCAGCAGGTTTAGAAACCCTGGAACAGAGCTCAGTAAGCCGGGAATGACTTGGAAATAATACATGCACCTTCATTACATCTTCTGAATTATTCCAGTGTTAATTTTGCCTGGCGGAATAACTGTGGGCTCATTCTACTGTTCCTTTGATGTTTGCAAGCTTTTGGATCCACTGGATATGTCTTTGTCCTCACATTTTTATTTGTGGCTGTCCCAAAGGTTTTCAGGACATAGCACATCACCAAAGATCGTTATTTGTTATTTAAAAACTGCTGAGCTGGAATTCAAATTCTGTCCAAATTTGAATTGTCTGTTAGCCATTATTCATTTTCCATTCATAAACTTCTATCAAGTGAGGAGGCAGGGCAGCAAGCAGGGTGTGGAGTCAGCCATTCAGAAACACATCTGAGAGTCACTCAGGACTGGCTGGTGAGTCACACTGAGCTGTGAGCACATCCTGAATGTCAGGATCCTTTCACGTGCTGAAGGAAGTGTTGCAGCTTCACTCATCTGCTCTTTATATTGCTCTCCAGAGCCTTTCATCCCAATCAGTTTCTTTGTACAGTAGCTCAGGAACACGTAATGAAATCTCCTAAATTCTGGCAGAGTTCTTGCTGAGTATGGCATTTAGGATCTTAATTCTGCAGCATGACGTGTTGAGCACATGGAAAATGTGAATTTGCTCCATATTGCAAGGGGTATCCTACTCAGGAGTGCACGGGGCTCTGCTCAGAGCCCATGGAGCCCACACTCTGCAGCTGGGAGCTGAAGGGACAATGCAATTCTGCAAGGTTTGCCTGTCCCCTCTGCCGCCTAACAAGTGTGCTTGTGGGTGGAAGTGCAGAGTTAACAGCTCAAGGCTAAACATTTTGGCTGTGGATGATTCTTACCATGCTGATTATAATGTGACTTTTGCCTGGAACATGATAGGTGCCAGGGGATGGATGAGGAAAGCGAACAAACCTCTTTACTGGAAATATTGGTTGTTGAAAATATCCTGGCCAGAAGTATTTCTGAGGGTCTCAGTTTCACCTTTTCCTAATGCTGTTGGCATTGCCGAGATGGCAGTGACACCCTGTGGTACCAGATGCCATCATTCAGGAAGTCACTATAAGGTTGCAACAGCAAAAAATCCAGGGATGTTTTTAATTCCTCCTTACAGATCATGTCCTCTGTCCTTCCCTGAGTGCTGTGCTCTAAGCAGGATGTACTTTGCTGGATTTAAATGTCCTGCAGGTAGCTCTGGTCTGATTCCCATCTCTTGGTTTCACAGCAGAGGAATCAGCTGTACCAGCACACCAGGCTCACATTGCAGGGCGCCTTTGCTTTCATCAGTGGAAATGCTTGTTCTGCTCTGCTTGCCCTGGGGAGCCAGGAGAGCTTGTGATGGAAGGGGGCAGTGCTCATGCTGGCTGTTTGCTCTTTTTCAGGGGGTCCATGAGTCCAAAGGTGTGTCTGAAGATTATTTGAAGCTGGAATCCCTGCTCCAGAAGGTTGTTTCTCCTTACCTGGGCACGTACGGGCTGTACTCCAGCGAGGGACCCTTCACGCACTCTGCCTGTATCCTGGGTAAGCACAGCACAGACTGCTCTGGCACAGCACACAGAGCTTCCCAGACCTCACTCCATGCAGGGCCAGGGCCTGCACAGGAGGTGCTGCCACTGCTTTCATGAGTACATCAGGCTTCTTTTTTAACACCATCCCAGGTGCAGAGCCACAGTGAACCTTGCCGTGGCAAAAGATGGAAACAGTTCATCATAAAAGTGCTCAGTAACAAAAACATCAGTAAAATGATTCTAGAGTGTTTAGCATGTCCATTCTGCCTTTTACCAAGAGAGCTTTAACACAGGATGCTTTATGGACAGTGAGAGGAAGAAGCAAGAGGCCACCTTTAAAGTAGTCAGTAGTTCATTTTCATTAGTGTTCATTAGTACACAAAGATTGCACAAGGCTGCTAAAACTATGGAAGAAAGTAGGAATTTGTCTTAGAAAAGACTAACACCTAAGCCTCCAAGCATGTAAAAGCTTTCTGCAGAATAAAGGTAATAAGCTGTTCTCCATCCCAGTGGAGATAAGAAATACAGAGTGGGTCTTACATAGCAGTGAGAATTCCTAGTACATGGAAGGAAAATTCTCTTTAATTTCCCATGCATTGCCTCTGGAGATCATTGAATCCTCCCTGCTGAGACACTTTTACCTGTCACAAACATCAGCGTCCATAAGGGGCGAGGGGGAAACGTGGGCTGGCCTGGTGGCAGCTTGAGTTCCCTCCAGCTTAATTTCTGATTCTTGGAGCTCTGAAGCCTTTGGTGACTTCTGTGATGGCAACATTTAGCCAGGGTGAAGGTGCAACATCCTACATACCAATGCAATCTGGTCAAAATATAAGGGAGATACTAGCAGTGCAAGTGACAAAGGAAACATGGTAGTACCTGAGTATTTGATTGTAAATACTGGGAGGGCCTGGTTAAATAGAGCAGGCAGAAGGGCAGATCAGTTCAATTGCATGTTTTCTCTGCAGTCAGTTCAGCCTGTTGGCTTGTCAGAAATGGTCAGTAAAGTAGTTGATTTTCTCTTGGAGCTGAATGGCAAAATGGTTGTGTTGCAACAGGTGTTTAAGAAACAAATGAGTTTGAAGTGACTAAATGGAGGCTGGTTATGTCCTGAAAATGGTTCGGGATTACTACTTCGTATTTATTGCTTGCCATTAAAAGGCCACAAGCATTTAAGTGGAGCCTCAAATGGACATTTTCTAAATACAAGCTTTTGTATGTCAAGATAGGAAAAATGCACCCGAAGAGACCAAAGCATCAGTGAAAGGAATCGTTAGCAAACAAATGTCTGATGACATGAGTGCAGAGGCTAGGAAGATTTTGGTGGGCTGGGCACTTGCTCTTGCTGCAGTCTGGGCTGTAGATGTAGCAATTCTCCTGAAATGGGTCTGACTGCAATCACTGAGCCTGGATGCCAGGGAGTTGTGTGGAACTAATGCATCTCATTCTCCTCAACTATTTTGGTACCATGTTGTTAGCAGAGTTCACAGCCCCAGGAACCTTTTCTGATTACCAGCTCAAACTCCTAACAATGAAAAAGTCCAGAAATGAACTTGGATCAGATGATTTCACTGCTGAGGCAGACACAGCTGCAAAATCCAGCCTTAAATACAGAAACTGGCTTTTTTAGTAGCACAGCATATGATTGGAATTTGTGTCTAGGTAAGCACATAATTGCACAATAGCATGAATTTAAGAGATTGGAATATGTTTGAGGGAACATGTACCAGCATCCTGATTTAAAGCAGACAGGTTATTTGCAGTGGCTGTGTGACTTCCAGAGGGTAATTTGATCCTCTGCTCCAGCTGTGCCTCTTCATGGGATGGCAAAATGAGAGCAGCAGAAAGCAAGCTCCAAAAGTGAGACCTGTTATTCACAGCACTTTTTCTTCTGATAGCAGGAGTGAGTCTGAGCACTGAGACTGCACAGAGTTTGAGTGGTGGTTGTGATGGTCACTTTATTCACACTGCCAGGACGTTCCAGCGCTCAGCTACTGCCAGAGAGGGAGCTCAGCACTCACTTGCTGCCATCTGCTGCCTATTTTTTTTGAAATCCCCACTTGCTTAACAGCATTCAGGCAATCACTGCTGGATTTAAGGCAGATTTGCACCCCCAGAAAGAGGTTTCTGTGGGCACTGCCCTCTAGTTAACATTTTCAGTCACTCTTGAATGTGGTCTCACTCTCCCCCATGTGGTCTCTGAACTTAGAAGGTTTTTCCAGAATTAGTAGAAAAACTGCCTGTGTTAATTCTTGTGCTCCAAATTTGAAGAGACTTTATTTTCCCAGGGTGGGTGGAAAAGTTAGATTTCAGCTACTAAAAAAGGAGTAAAAATGTTTATAGCCTGAAAAAGAACAGAATTGCAGTTTCTGTTCTTGTCTAAAGGAAGTATTTACAACTGTCTATCACCTCTCTCACTGTATTTCCTGTTCTAGTTCAGCCACTGAAGTTGTGTGAATATAAGGGAATCTCAGTTATTATTTGTTGAGATAAATTTGGGCTCCTCAGTATGCTAAAGAAATCTAGGAAGTCTGAAGCCTGTTAATCTCCAAAATCAGCAAAATGTCTTGTTCTAGAGAAGTTTCATTCAGAAAAGCTTGTGAGCAACCAGGGCTTCACACTTCTTTGAACACGGATAGTTGTGGTGCCGTCCCAGGAGGCAGTGCAGGTGTGACTGTGGTTCTCTGTTCACAGAGAAGCGGTTCTTCAGGCGCTCCAGGTCGGGGGAGATGCTGCCCAAGAACCCCGTGGTGCGCTCCAAGAGCTACAACAACCCCCTGCTGACGCCCGTGGCCGAGTACGACAGCGAGAGCGCGGCCGCCAACGGGGCCGGCATCCGCAGGCACTCGGTGTCCGAAATGACCTCCTGCCTGCAGCTCCAGGGCTACCCCAGCCTCGCCCCCATCACGGACAGCGGCTCCAGGGGCTCCGTGAAGGGCTCGCTGCCCGCAGAGCACGAGAGGCCCGGCGCCGCGCCGGGGCACTGCCCCAGCAAGCTGGGCACAGCCGAGCGGCAGGAGGGACCCTTCCGCTCCACCGGCGACACACGCAGCTCCTTGGAGCTGGACACACACGCTGCCTTGCTGCCAGCTCCGTCCTCCAGCCCGGAGAACGTGGTGGATCAGATCTTGGAGTCCATCGACTCTGACTCTGAAGGCATTTTCATTGATTTTGGCCGAGGCTGTCCCAGTTCATCGGCCTACAGTGTGGATGTCAACAGGCAGAGCATTGTGTGAAGGATGTGAGGAGACAAACTCTGGGGTTTCATTAAACATGGAAGTTACTCAGAGTGTTGGACTGTGGGCAGTACAGCCCCACAAACTGTGGGGTTTAATGATACATGAGTTACTCAGTGTGTTGGACTGTGGGCAGTACAGCCCCACACACTGTGGGGGTTTAATGATATATGAGTTTCTCAGACAGTGTGTTGGACTGTGGGCAATACAGCCCCACAAACTGTGGGGTTTAATGATACATGAGTTACTCAGTGTGTTGGACTGTGGGCAGTACAGCCCCACAAACTGTGGGGTTTAATGATACATGAGTTACTCAGTGTGTTGGACTGTGGGCAATACAGCCCCACAAACTGTGGGGTCAATGATACATGAGTTACTCAGTGTGTTGGACTGTGGGCAGTACAGCCCCACAAACTGTGGGGTTTAATGATACATGAGTTACTCAGTGTGTTGGACTGTGGGCAGTACAGCCCCACAAACTGTGGGGTCAATGATACATGAGTTACTCAGACAGTGTATTGGACTGTGGGCAAGCTCTCTATGCCTGGCAGATCTCAGGCAGGTTTGCCAGGTCATTGTGGCTGTACTGAACAAACCCAGTTTGGTTATAGCAGCTGGGAGTCTGCTGAGGGGGAAGCAACTCCAACTGCTTTTCCCCATCCCTGTCACCCTGCAGATGGATTTCCTATTTCTTTATAAACCTAGGGCATCAGAAGCTCACAAGTGTCTGGTGAAATGCTATTAGCGCAGCTGGCAGTGTTTGTTCAGGAAAACAGCTCAGCAATAGCTGTGCTCCCTTGTGATTTTCTAGAGAAGTTTCCTGCAGATGGTAGGTTGTTCTCCGAAGCGCAACACCTCAGCCAGAATAGAAACATGGCCTTTAAAAACAAACCAACAAACAAATACAAAAGGCTTCTGGCTTTCGTGCCACAGAATACAATAATGAAGAAGTCTCTTTTAATCTTTTTCTTGTACATCCTTGTATGCACTCCTTTGCCTGATGGTGACTTGGAGTTCTTGAAGAAAGGCAAATAAACAGAAATTTGCTTCCTGATGTCACACAATGCCGAGTGCCTCATTTTCTGTTTCACTGTTTCCTCAGCCAGTACCTTGTGTCTGGGAGGATTGTCTCAAAATTGGCTTCCAAGACCAAAATTAGTCTGCTCTGAATGTGGCACTTGGAGAAATCTGTACTGTCAGCTCCTGAAGCATCTGTTGTATGGAGAGATTTCAACTCAGTTGTTTCCTAGATAAGTGAAAATTTGGCCTCTCAGGGAAATCCTCATTCTATGTTTATATTCTTCTAGAAATACCATCATGCATCTGGTGTCAGTGACGGTTTTGGGAAGTGTGAACCTTGCAGCTCTTCCTATCCTGAGCACACCCAGCACTTTGTCCCTTGCAGTAACAGTGGTGTGAGAGCTGGATCAGCAGTGCTGCAGAGGAGTGATGCATGTGATCCCAAGGTGGAGCAGAAATCCTGCTGCACATTCCAGGTTTGAGCAGGGCTTTGCAGTGAAATCCTGCTGCACATTCCAGGTTTGGGCAGGGGTTTGCAGTGAAATCCTGCAGCACATTCCAGGTTTGAGCAGGGCTTTGCAGTGAAGGCAGCTCCATTTTGTGTCTGTGCTTTGGTGGAAGGAGTCAGTCAGTAGCTCCTGAGCTGGATGCTGTGATGAGCCCTCAGTCTCAAGGAACTCTTGGAAAGCACAGCCGAGAGTGGAACTCCTGCTGAAATGGGATGCAGAATATGGCAGGAGCCATGATTCCCAGAAGTGTCCTGGAGTGGTACAAGCTGCCATGCAGTCTCTACCCTCACTCTTGCTGACAAACACTGTTCTGTTTCCTGAATTAGTATTGGATTTGGAGACAAGGAGAGCCCACAGCCGTGTTCTGAGGACGCAGTGCAGGGAGGAAAAGGTAAGATTCAAAGCCTTCCATCAAAATATAACCTGAAACGTAACAAATACAGTGCCTCCACACAGCTTCATCCCCAAGGAACTTGGAACGTTTGGAGTCATGAGCACAGCTCATTGCTGGGGAAAAAATGGCCACGTCTGTGCCTGCCGGGGCACCCCACCCCCCTGCTTCCAGGAGCAGCAATTCCCAGCAGGAAAAAAGGCAAGGACAGAACAGAAAAAAGGCAAGGCCAGAAAAAGGCAAAAGGAAAAGGCAAAAAGAAAGGGAAAAAAGGCAAGAAAAGCAAAAAGAAAGGCAAAAAAAAGGGCAAAAAAGGCAAGAAAAGCCAGAAGAAAGGCAAGAAAAAAAGGCCAGCAAAAAGGCAGCAAGAAAGGCAAGAAAAAAGACCAAAAAAAGGCAAAAAGGGCCAGAAAAATGGCAAGGGGAAAGGCCAAAAAAAGTCCACAAAAAGGCAGCAAGAAAGCCCAAAAAAGGCAGCAAGAAAGACCAAAAAAAGCCCAGAAAAAGGGCAAAAAAGGCAGCAGGAAAGACCAAAAAAAGGGCAAAAAAGGCAGTAAGACCAAAAAAAGCCCAAAAAAAGGGCAAACAAGGCAGCAAGGCCAAAAAAAGCCCAAAAAAGGCAGCAAGGCCAAAAAAAGCCCAAAAAAGGGCAGCAAGAAAGGCCAAAAAAAACTTTAAAAAAGGGCAAAAAAGGCTGCAAGAAAGGCCAAAAAAGGGCAAAAAAGGCAACAAGAAAGGCCAAAAAAAGCCCAAAAAAGGCAGCAAGAAAGGTCAAAGCCCAAAAAAGCAGCAAGACACACCAAAAAAAGCCCAGAAAAAGCCCAAAAAAGGCAGCAAGAAATGCCAAAAAAGCCAGAAATGCTGCATGGGCACATGTGTGTGCTGTGCCTCACACATCCATAGGGATTGACCTGAATGACCCACACATGGCTGCATTTGGTATTTATTGCACATTCTGATATTTATTCTGGTTATGCCTTCTGACACGTGGCAGTTTGCTCATGCTCTTGCCTTGGGCTGATGACAGGATCACAGCAGGAAATGGAGGCCAATCCCAATATTTTGTAACCAAGAATATTTCAGCCCCAGAGTGTTTTGGCCTTTGGTTTCCAGCGGTTGATTTGCTGTGTGTGCAATGCTGGCGCTCCCATGGCCAGGCCATGCCCATGAATGATGGAAACTCTGGGTGCTTCTCTAAACATGTGCAATATCTGCCCTGGCAGGGGCTGCCTTGGTGTGTGCCCCGTGGCACTGCCAGCTTTCCCTGGCACAGCCAGGCCATGATTTTATCCCGGCCTCAGTCACAGGGACTGCAATGGCTCTGGGGCACTTCAGGAATATTGTTCTGCTATTCTGGCACACAATTGCTCAAATACACACGGATGGTGTGGAAGGCACCGCCTGTGGCTTTTGTTCTGCCTCTGCTTTCTTGTTTTCCTTTCTTGTTTTCCTTTCTTGTTTTCCTTTTTTCTGCCAGGCAGAAAGGCAGCGACACATTGGAAATGACATTGTCACCATCATATTTCAGGAAGGTGCAGAGTCTTCTCCAGCATTCCAGCCATCCAGGATTCCCTCTCATTTTACACCCATCTTTTTCCTGACATTTTCTAATTTTTCTTTTTTTTTAAGATTTTAATTCTGCCCTGAATTCCTCCCTCTCTGCTGTTTATGGAAGTGAAAATTATTTTCCCAAAAGAGTTGCATTCTTGCATTCTTGCCCTTCAGCTTCCTAACTAGGAGTTTCCAAGTCTGCAACATCAAGCAGTGTTTGTTAAATCCCTCAGAAGATAAGGGAAAAGCGGGAATGGGAGTTTGAAATACTTTTATTGAAAGCATTTATTTGTATCCTTTCACAAATCTAATTTTATACCTTTTAAAAAAATACAAAGTTATAAATACATTTCTCTTGGTTTTGTAAATTACTTTGGCATTAAATTTTGGCATTTTACTCAATATTGCCTTTCAATGTTTAGATGCTGTTTCTTTTAAATTTGGATTTTGGATCAGTATTTGTCAAATGTTTCAGACTATTTACCATCCATGCTCCAGTTTTTTAACAGCCTGTGGTTTGCAGACTTTTGGTTGAAAGCATTTTGCAGACGATGTGATTGCAAAAAGCAGCAGCCAATATCTTGGAATTCCCATGGGCTCACAGTAGCAGTAACCTGTAGAGCCCAGCCTGGCCCGTGTCAGACAGAATGGAACGGAATGAGGAGAAATGAATGCAAAGAAGAAAACTCTCATTTCTGTCTCTACTCTGTTGCTGAGTTTGAAAAAGTTATCACAGAGCTTAAGACTTCCACATCTCGTTCTCAGGCAGTGAATGTTACTAGAACCCACTTGCTAGGGGTGAACGGAAATGAACAAAGTTGGAAAGAATAATAAAAATCTTTACTTATCAAAGGAACCTAAATACTAAGAAGAATTGTTTACCACATCAACGTAACTCTGCAATAGAGCATCGGCCTTAGTAGAACTTGCACTGGGAATCGGGCGGGACGCGGCAGCGGGAGAGCCCCGAGCCGGGCGAGCTGAACGTGAGGCAGTAGAGCTTGCCCGCCCTCAGGGAGCCGAGGCGAGGCGAGCGGAGCCGAGGCGCGCCGAAGGCACAGAGCGGCTGGGAGTTGGGCCGAAGCGAGGCGAGCTCGGCCGAAGAGGCGAATGCAGGCGCCAAGAGCCGAGTTGAGGCGACAGTAGCCGACTCGAGCCGAGCGTCTCCGGAGCGAGCCGAGCTCCGCCGAGCGCCGCAGCATCCCGGGCAGGGCGAGGCGCCGGGCCGGGCTCGGGGTGCAGCCGGGGCTCTGGGAGGCTTCCCCGCCTGTCCCTCTCTCTAGCCCTCCTTCCTTCTCCCCGTCTTCGCCTTCTCTCGCTCCCTTTCCCCCATTCCCTCTCCCCCCGCAAAGCCGGCTCCTTCCTGTCCTGTCCCTAGCCCGCTACTCCCTTCTGTTCCCCCTCTCTCCTTCCTCTGCCCAACCTCCCTGTACCCTCGTCCCGGGCTTTCCCTTCCTGTCCCGCTTTCCTGCACAGCCCGAGCTCCCTCGCCGCCCTTTCTCGTGCCCTGCTCTCGCTCCTCTCTTCCCGTGCCCCCTTTCCTTCTTTGCCCCGCAGCCGCGGGGCTCGGGCTGCCGAAGAATAAAGCCCCGAGGGCTTTGCCGGCATCGCGCTGAGAGCGGCCCCCGCTCCGTGCCGGGCCGTCCCCGCCGTCTGTGCCGCTTCCTCTCTCGCTGCCCCTGGCCCGTGACAGCGAGGCTGGGCAGGAACCTCAAGCCTTCTGGGGGCTGCCCCCCCCTTTCTTGTTGCAGCAGAGTCCCTTGCTGGGGCCATGCACGTGTGGGAAGGGCTTGGGGGAAGCGCTGCGCTGCTGTCCGGGGCAGTCGGATTCGTTCGGAGCCTTCTTTGGGGGTCAGGGAAAGGCGGGGTGAAGACTCGGGGCTCTGATGCCGTTGGGGGCAGCCCAAGGTGCCCGGGAGAGGGAGCCCCACGGCGGTGCAGGAGCAGGTGGGGGGCGGGCGAGGGGCGGGGGTCACGCTGGGTGCCATCCCCCAGAGGGACCCAAAGCTGACACCAAATGCACAGGGAAATTGCATTCCAATGTCTTGGAACAGAGGCTCATGGGAAGTTTTCTCAGCTCTCTAAGGCACGGAGCCCTGGAGCCAAGTCAGCCTGAGCTGCTGCGTGCTTGCTGTGAGCCTTGAGGTGAGCGCGCATCATTGCGGGCTTGGGATCGATTGAAATGCGCTAAGGAAACCAGCTCTGGGAAGGGAGGGAGGGAGGGAAATGCTCTCTTAACATGTGCCAATTCTTCTGTCAAACTCATCAGGGCAGGACAGCGTTCAGACTGAAAGTGTAAGAAGATGTGGAGGGAGACAGAGAATCTGACAGGAGCACCGGACTCACAAGTGCACGAATTTTGCTTTTGGCTTGGATTCAAACGCAGAAGTTGTAAGGAATTTGGGAAGGAGAAGGGACATTTCAGAAGGAGAAGAAGAAAAAGAAGTTGTTGTTGTTACAGCCCTGGCAAAATCTTTGGTTCTAGCTAATAAAGGAAGTTAGTTGAAATTAAAAAAAAGAAAAAAACCTGGGGTTTTTCCTTCACTGTTCTATTCGTTGGTGGTAGATGGTGTGTTGTTTTATTTCTTGGTCT